GCACGTGAGCGTGTGTGATTCTGTGTATGAATGTGCATTCTTAATTTTGGTACTTCTCCCTGTTTAATTTTTAATTGCCCCACTAGCCAAGAAAAGTTGTGTCATCTCTCTGCATTTCTGCTATGCATCTGTTGAATTTATCATCGAATGTGGAAATTGTTGTTTGCTTTATGGTTCTGAATGCGCATGTGAATATTTGTGCATATTTATAAAATTGAAACTGTACAAGTCTTTCTCAAAGAGGCTACACAGGCACTTGTTCTGTGTCTTATGGCTGGTTTTTTTTTCCTTTGTGTTTTTTCAGAACCTGTGATTAAAGGGAAATTTGAGCCAGAGAAAAGGATAGTGGCACCCCATTGAAAACTCTCAATTTGTTTTGACCACATGTGAACCTTACTGATTGACCCAGACAAAAGCTGAAAAGCTGGATTCTGCTTGCTACAATGCAGGTACTGTAGATGGGGTAGAGTGATAAAAAGGCAGGGCATAGGATTTTATCAAGGAAAAGGCAGCTATCAGCTAGGCAGCAAACAAAGCAACAGTGGCAGATGACATGCAGGCAGTCGGCTCTGGAGTTTCTAACAAGGCAGCAAGATGTTTCCACAGAGAGCAGCAGTGCGTACTCCAGAAGCAGAAGACAAAGACGCAGGTAGGTGGACCTTAGGGGAAAAACACTCAACCCCTGGGCTCAGTTTGGGCCCAAAATTCCTATCTTGGAAGAAGAAACGATAAGAGAGAAGCTGGGACAGATTGAAAGAAACTGACAACCACAGGCAGCAGCCTAGGTGTGGGCACAGGACCAAAGCTTGGTCACCGGTCCCTTCTAGCTTGTGTTCAGAGTGCGGGCTGGAGCATGAGAATGTCCAGGAGTCCAGCAGCAGGACTGGTGTTGGGTACAGCTGCAAGCATAGCCACAGGCTGCAGCTGTGGGACACCTTCCAAGGCCACAAAGATGCTCAAACCTGTTAGTCCCAACCCCAACTTAGGGGTCAGGAAGTCTACATCACGCTTTAATTCTTCGATGAAGTAGAGAGGGTGATGACAAACACTGGGCGTGTCTCCAGGAAAGCAGAAAAAGCAGTGGGGAGTAGTGACACATTAATGTACTTCTATCTGTCGTTGACAGGTCAAACAGTCAAAAAACAAAAAAAACCCAGATTAGCTATGGGGAATAAACATACACAAATTAAATATGCACAAGGTCACATGCATACAAAACAAAGTCTCTTCTGTTTCCCAACCTTCATGGGACAATTATAAAATTAAACTATAAATAAATAAATTAAGGAAAAAATTAATTTCCTAAGGCAAAAAAATAATTAAGCACAGGACATAGTCTTTATCCATAGTGTATTTAAAATTAGACATTCATAACAAAAATCTACATGAAGATAAAACAATACAAAACACAAAACAAAATAAAACAAAACATTTTCCCAAAGTAACCCAAGCATTTGGGGAAACCAGCTTGAAAGACGGGGGTGGGGCTCAACAGTCTGTGAGCATATTTCTAATGTTAGAGAAGCAGAGAGACAATGCCAGAAGCTGAAATGCTCTGGTACTCTATTGGCAAAATAGCTTTTTTCCCCCAATCTTCTTGGATTCCTACAATAGTCGAAATTGTGGTTCTGCTGTACCAGAGAACTTGACAGTGACTTTTAATTTGTCTGTGTAATGTAGGAGTTCAGGTAATAGGAGTTTTATTCCTGGTATTTAGTAGATGAAGTGCAGTAGAGAAAAACAATAAACAGTACAAACAGACCAATAGAAATTCAGGGGAGATATATCTTCCAAACTGCATTTATGAATTGGCAAGAAGTAAGAGATTTTCCCAGGCCAAAATGCTAAGTGAAAGAAGGAATTCAGCAGGGCAATTGGAGTGCTGCAGCTGCCTGCAACTTTGAGGGCATTTATTGAACCAGATTAATTCGAGCTTCTGTTGTCTGGTCTTGTAGGGCACAGGGAATAGGGAACAAAGACCACAGGCCATTCAAGGCCCCTGGATACTTCTTCCATCAGTGTGAAACTCAAAGATCACCCCCAATGAAAGGACGAAGCAGAAATAATTGTTAACTCCATCAACTCTCAAGTGATTGCAAGAATTTATTTACTGAGCAAAAAGGGGAGAACAGAATCATCGAGAATTTGGAACCACAAGCTGCCTGTCCCTCGTGTAGTCTGAAGCCCAAATTCATACTGCCTGTGTGGTTCAACAGTAAAGGAAAAAATTCAAGCCAGTAATTTAGTTTACAGTAATCAAAGGCTGACAGTGGTTTAGGTGGCAAAAATAAATGCAGAGCCTTGGAAGGAGAATTTATATCAGATCTCATCGAATTTCCACAAATGAAATTGCAAGGAAAATGGGAACCTTTTAATAAAAAGTGATCATACTTAGAGACATTGTGAATGAGAATCAGCGAACAACAGAAACTGCTGTACTGTGGATGGCTGAGTTAGAAAGATTGCAAGTTTGAGACCAGCGTAGGCAATTGACAGTTTTGTGACTTAGTGAAATCTTTTCTCAAAATAAAAAATAAAGAAATGCTTGGGGGTGTAGGTCAGTGCAAAGGCCCTGGGTTCAATTCCCTGGGGGGGGGGGGAGATAGAGTAGGGATGGGGAGAAAATCCAAATACTGATGTTTGTATTGCATAATTCAAATCCAAATGCACAAACATAACTATGATTGCTATGCTTTTTTAAATAAGATCTAATCGAAAAATGTAGATTGAAAAACAGAAATTAAAAAAGATCAAATATATTTGGAAAAAACCTCCACAGATAAAAAATTTAATAACTGAAATTAAAGTCATGGACTTCAGGTAGTAACAATGTGTCAACACAGTTCATTGATTGTAAGAAATGTACCACTGGTGTATGAGGTTCATAGTTGGCAAGGTTGTGTGTGGGTTGGGATAGGAGATATATAAGAACTCTGTAATTTCAACTAAATTTTGCTGTAAAGCTAAAGCTGTTGTAAAAAATAAAGTCTAATATAAAAAATCAGAAAGCAAAGACAAATTGCCTAAAAAAGGAGAAAGCATTAGACTTTGATTTGATTTGATGTTGACAACAATGGGAAGCAAAGAGTGAAATGGTATCAACTGTTGAAAGAAAACAATTACCAACCTTGATTCAATGGCTGGTGAAAACATTATTCAGAAATGAAGACTAAATAAAAGCATTTTCTGTCAAACAAAAAACTAAGACTGCTACTCAGAGATGCTCACAAAAGAGAATTTGAAAGGATATACTTCTAGACAGAACAAAAGGGAAAGGTGATAGAGGTCTGGGAGGGAAAGAGACTAGGAACAGTTAGTAAAAGTGCTTGTAAAAGTGGACATCTGTATTCCACTCCTGAACTTTATACCTCTTTACAATGTGACTTTGCAGCTCCTTTTATTAAACCCATGAAGCTGATTTTCCCATTGAAGAGAGAGAGACAGACAGACAGACAGACAGACAGAGAGAAAGAGACAGAGAGAGAGAGAGAGAGAGAGAGAGAGAGAGAGAGAGAGAAGAAAGAGAGACACACAGAGAGAGACAGAGAGATAGAGACAGAGAAGAAAGGTAAGCGTCACTTCAGTTCTGCACCTGGTCCCTTAATTCAATTCTTCTATTACCCGCCAGCAGATAAAGTCAGACTGCACAGGTGGAGAGGACTCTGTCCCCAGGATAGCCACCCAATCCCTTCCAATGCTAGTTGCATGTCCCAAGCTGTTTTTACCTGTGCCTCTGGCCAGCCGACCGTAAATCCAGGTTCTCCTAACCCTTTCTTGGGTTTGACTAATTTGCTAGAGCTTTTCACAAAACTGAGGGGAAAAACTTATGCTTACTACCTTGTTATAAAATATTCTACGAAAATGCAAATGTGGAAACCAATGGACGTTGAGGTTTGAGGCAAGGGGCACAGTACTAGCAGGCCCTTTCCAGGGCACTTTCCCCCAGGAACTTCTACAGGTCATTTTAGCTTTTTATGCAGCTTCATGGCCTGGGTTTGGTTGAAGTATGGACAACTATGTAGAAATGTAATTGGACAAAAGGTATGGCCTAATGTTTTTTTAAATTTTATTTAAAGAAAGACTAAACAAAACAGAAAAAGGGTAGAAATACTATGTACTTTCAAAGAAAAAAATAAACAGTAAGAATTCACTAGTTGGGGGCTGGGGATTTAGCTCAGTGGCATAAGCACCAGCCTTGCAAGCAGGCAGTCGTGAGTTCGATCCCCGGTACGGATAAAAATGAAAAAGACAAAAAAAAAAAAAAAAAAAAAAAAGAATTCACTAGTTGATGATTACATATTGTCCTCTTACAAACAGTTGTTCAAGTTACAAAAGTGAAGCATATAAAGTGGGGATTCAGACAGTGAGACTGCAAACAGTTCTGTTCAACTATCTAACAAAAACTTAGTAATATGATTATCAGTCCTATACACTTAAACATACATGCAGTTATCCATATCTTCACTTATATTAAAATTAAACAAACCAAAGCAGGCTAAAATTATTCTGAACAAAGAATAATAGTATTGCTGGTTTTCACATCATGGCACTACGGGATCAGCACTGGGTACTGTAGTGTCTCTTTTTTTTCAAAATAGTTGTTCATTTCATCACGCATTATATGATCAGTTCTCATAAACTGTTAATAGGTTCTACTCATGCATGAGTCTCTACATGTATTTCTATCCTTTCTGTATTAAAGGGAATAATAAAGCATAGCAAGGCAAAATAAAACAACTTCCTATAAAAACATGAAACAAAAAAGTCATACAAAACCACAGTATAAGGTGATCTACCATGGTTACTGTGTTGTCTCTTGTTATCTTCAATAGAATTGTCTATATCATCAGGCGTAGTATAATTGAATATAGCAGTACATAACAATATTAATAAAACCAAAACATTGTAGATAGTGTAAAACTTCAAAAGCAGGTAATAATCAAACCAGAATGAGTATCATAGTGAATCTTGTCATATTCAGTGTAGTTGCTTATACTCTGAAAAATATGGAATGCTTCATGAATTTGCGTATCATCTTTGCGCAGGGGCCATACTAACCTTCTCCGTATCGTTCCAATTTTAGTATATGTGCTGCCGAACTTAGCACTGCCCTAATTTTAATAGATTGAGTGGAGACATTTAGTAAGACCTGTCCAGATTTGGCATCATTTATTTTTGAGGGTATGAGGCAAGCAAGACCTCTCCTAAAATGCAGGTCTTACTCTACCCTTCGAGTCTGGGCTCAGTGTAATTCATACTTAAGCCAGTGGAATGTGGCAGAAACGAACCTCGTGAGGTGCTTATTTTAAACGTAAAATGAAGTCTTGTGCACCTTCTATCACTGTCTTGGACTTCTGAACCATCATGTTAACAAGCCCAGGCAGCCTGCTGGAATATGAATACTGCTTGCATGCGTGGACCTGGGCCATTACAGACCTGTTCAGCGCAGGTAACTCGTCACATAATAGCAGACTTAAGGAGATCTCAGCTGAGATCAGCTTAAATTGACCAAGGAAGCTGTTCAGCCCACCCACGGTTTCATAAAAAATAACGCTTGATTATTGAGACCACTAAATTCCTTTTTCTTTCTTTCTTTCTCTCTTTCTTTCTTCCTTCCTTCCTTCCCTTTCTTCCTTTCTTTCTCTCTCTATACTGAGGACTGAACCCAGGGTCTTCGTGCTGAGCTATATACATCTCTGTTTTTTAAAAAAAAATTTTTTATTTTGAGGTAGAGTCACACTAAGTTGATAATTTGCTTATGCTGGTTTGTTTGTTTTTGAGACAGAATCTTGCTATGTATCCCAGGCTGACTTCAAACTCATGATGATTCTTCTGCCTTCACTTCCCAAATGCTGAGATTACAGGCACATACTACCATGCCTGGCTCCACACAGGGTTTGAGTGTGATCCTCCTGCCTTAGTTTCCCAGAGTGCTGAGATTATACGCATGCACAACCATACTCAACTGGCTACTAAAGTTTGAAGTGGTTTGTTATTCAGTTAGAGTGTCAAGGGGGAGGAAAAGCGAATGTAATGTTTAAACCAATAATGTAGGTTTGAAAATAAGACAAAAATAAAATGTATAGTAATAGAATTGGCCTATGAGTAGAAGTGAAGTGTTAGAGTTTAAAAAAAGAGAGATTTATTTTTCTCATATAATGAGAAATAAGTAAGCATTTTAATGCTGGTGCAGTTGCTCAATGAATTTATCAAGGCTTAGATTCTTTTCATTTTTCTCTCTACATTCCCTAGTTTTGGATGTCATTTTTATAAACCCGCTGCAATTTCTGACATTATAACTGTATTCTAGGCTGAAATAAAGTGAGAGAACATCTACTTAGGGATATAGTTCAAAAGGAAAAGCAAGAATATACTCAGGGTAAGGATTGAAAGGTAGCATTGTGCAGGGGATAAGGCACTGGAATCAGTCTCTTAATCATAGCTGATTTTCTGGGGAATGACTTTCAGTCTCCTCCCTTTTATATCAGGACATCGGCGTGAGTGGCTCATAAGCCTTTTTGAGAACCCACAGAGACTGTGAAAGGAATGAGCATTTATTACAGATTCGTTATGTGGGATAGCTTATTTAGACTTCACAACAAACACATGAGTAGGTGTCATTATCCCCCTTTACTCTGGGGTATGCTAAACCTCAGAAAGATTAAGCAGTGTTCATAGATCTGCAGTCAGTAGCAGAGCCAGAATTCCAACCAGAGCGTGCAGCCCTCCAAAGCCAGAGCCACCCCTCTAAGCCCAGCCATTCTCAAAAGGCAAATAGGGTTATTCATTCCTACTTGCTGACTTTTAAGTAAACCAGTGTCTTTTGAAGTGGGCCTGGTGCCACAGGCAGAATACTGACCTGAGGGTGGTGATTACAGACACAGAGTCCTGGACTGACTGCCCTCCGAGGGACTGAAGCAGACGTCCCAGAGCCAGATCCAGGAGTCTGCATTAGTCAAAGCTCTGCAGATGACTTGGAGACACTTTACAGCCTGAGAGCCACGCATTTAAACTTAGAATTTATTGTTCTGTTCTATCACAGTTTATTTATGGATTTGTGGCTCATGGAAATTTCCTCCTAATATCAGGAAGATAAAACTTAAAAATAGTATTTCTTGTTCCTGTTCCTCACTTTTTTTTATTGAACACACTCAGCTCCTTGGAAAATGCTGAGGAACTGGAGGTAAATTATAGAACAGACCCTCACACTAAGTAACATGGGCTCTGCAAGGTAAAGGCCTGGATGAAAATTAACACAAATGCAGATTGGAGTTAAAAGAGCTGGAAGGGAATGGGAAAAGGAAATGGCATGAACTAAATATTTACTATGTCCCAGGCATTGTTCCAGAAAATTACATCATTTATGGGACTGAAGATACGCGGTTCAATCCATTTTATGTATAAATATGGATAGATACTATTTGCATTTTAGAGGTGGGCAGAGAAAAACACTTTCAGAAACTGATCGTTCATTCATTCATACAATAAAAATCTCCTGCGATCTTATTTTATGCAAAATACCGGGAATTAAGCAGCCAAAGGAAAGTTTCCCTCTTGGTGAGCCTGAGCAGGAGGAGAGGTTGTTGCTGGCTCTCGAGGCTGCACCCTTTGAGCCTGTTGCAAACTCAGAAAAGTTAACTCCTTGCTTGATCAACAAAGTGCCCTAGCCACGAGGGGAACGGGCAGGCCCACCTCCTACCCCCCACCTTCCTCTTTAATGCTCTCTAAAGGAACTCTTTGCATGTGGATAGAGTGCTCAGTGCTGAGGTCTAAAGTTGTTTACCAATAGATACCAAGCGCTGGTTCATTCCAGTTACCAAGCTTTGTTTAATTGTGAGTTCAAATTACACAAAAAATAAAAATTTCTCCTTAAAAGGTTCTGCGGATAAACGTTCTTCGTGCTGTGTAGCAGCCTCCTAGGCTGTGTTTGTGTCTGAAGACAAGCTAGTCTGACAGGAAGAATTACAAATCTGGAGCTCATTTTGGCATCCCAGAGGGAAGGTGGGTGGCGCGTCTCACAGTAAGGAATTCAGAATGAAAACGTAGTTGAGTTTATTTGGGTTTTTAGTGACACCTCAGAACTGTTACACAGGCATGTCAGAGACAACTCAAAGTAAAGACGACTGCTCCCCCTCTGCCTCGACGAAGCCACTGCTAAGTAGGGAAACCACTTTGTGGGATGGGGAGAGGGACTTTCGGGTTCCAGCCTGGAGCAAGAAAGGGGAGCCAAGTGGCTTGAGTCGTGTGCAGGGATCTGTTGTGGCAACAGACCCGAGGCTACTTACTGAAGGAGGTGTGTGCGTCTGAGAGCTCTGGATCTGGAGTCTTGGGCTGGGATCTGATGACTTTTGGGCTAGGAATTTGACGAGGGGTATTAGGTTGATGTGAGAGCAGGAAGAAACAGTGGACTGGAGCACCTGCGAAAGGCACCGGAGAAGGGTCTGGGGAGGGGGCATGCTGACCGTGGAGGCGTGGGTCTGCAGGAATAAAGTTAGCATAGATATAAGGGCTTGCCAGACCTGGGGATTTGGGTGGCGTGGGAGATACGTGGCTGTGAATGGAAGTCCGGGTGGGGTTAGAGGCAGAAGAAAGAGCTGTGGAGCCGTAGCAGCTTTTTTCCAAAGCAATTCACAGACAGACACGCTATAGGTCAGACCCTGCCCCCATGCGCCAGCGGAGCCCAGCTCGGGTCAGACCTGCGGTCTGGAGGCCAGACCCCCGGGGTGCGAGGGCGTGGTCAGAGCCTGCTGCTCGCGGCTCCGCATTGGCTGCCTGGCGGGCCGGCGGGCGGGGCTCCTGGCTGGGTCCCTCTGGGGCGCTGGAGGCCGGCGGGAGGCGGGGCCGGTGGGAACCCAGCAGCCAATGGGAGCGCGTCCCCGGAGCAGTTACAAAGGGCCGGAGCCAGGCCGCCGCTGCGGCGGGGAGGTGGGGCGAGGCGAGGCTTGCAGAGGCAAAGCGGCGGCCGGGCCGGGCCGGGCCGGGCCACAGGAGGTGGCGGCGGGACCATGGAGGCGGCGGCCGCTGCTCCGCGTCACCAGCTGCTTCTCCTCATGCTGGTGGCAGCGGCGGCGACGCTGCTGCCGGGGGCGAAGGGTAAGCAGTGACGGGCTGGCGGCGGCGGGGCACGCGGGCCGGGCCCGGCCTCTGGCTCGCTCCTGCTCTTTCTCAAACATGGCGCGGGGCCGGGGGCGCAGGTGGCGGCGTCAGGGCCCGGGCTGGGCTTTCACGGCCCGACGGGCGGTATGGGAGCCGCTGGCTGGGAGCAGAGGCGGGCGGGAGCGTGGGTCAGAGCTCGTGTGGAGGCGCCGGGCGGCCCCGCTCCGGGCTCCTCGGGGGCGGCGTCGGTCGGAGCCGTCCGAGGTCGGGGGCTGCCCTCGGGGGCATGAGCGGGCGAGGACCGAGGTGTGAGGCCCGCGGGGACTGGCCTTGCTCGGGCTGTCTGGGCTCCTAGGGGGCCGGGCCTGAGGCTGCTGGGTCCCGGGGCGGGGTTGGAGTCGGTGGCTGCTTCCCCGGCCGGATGTGGGCTCTGAGCCCCGGGGGTGTTCGGAAGAGGTGGGAGAGGGGGCTCGAGACCCCGGGTCCGCTGTTCTGACCTGAGCTTTGTCGCCGGCCGGTCCGACCTGCGAAAGGGGCTGCTTCTGTGGCCAGGCGGGCTTTGGAAAGGAGATCCGCGAAGCTTTGTGTGAGAAAGCGGCACGGAGATGCGCGGAATGTTTCTCTTTTCTTGAGTCTGGAAGTGTTGAAGTGAGTCCAGCAACCAGAAGGCTACGGATTGTTTTTGTAGTAGAAACTTGAACGTTTGCTCACTCTGCGGGACTTGGAATGTTTGAATGGGAACGATCCTGTGAATTGATCAGATGCTTTTATTTCCTCGAAGGAACGTCGCTCGTGAGGTTTCTTTTCTTGGGTGACAATAGTTTAGAATCAAAAGTCTGCGTGGCTAGTTTTTAAGGGAGAACCCGCGGTTTTGCAAAATATTAAATCAGGTTGTGATAAAATGGTTGTCATCGACTCTGCGGAAGGGAGGAATAAAAAACTTTGTTGGCAACCAAGCTAAAATCCGAAAAACTAAAATATAGAGCCCCAGCACTAGCAAACTAAAATACA